ATCTAGCATTGTTACCTGACTAGAAACTTCTAACTAGAAACTATTCGTCCTAAATGTTGGTATTTTCATTGTCACAGGTTCTGTACCCTGTTTATGTATAGGCGACTTTTCGGCTTGGTCTGCGTGGCTGTCGGGTCATTCGCAGGTTTTCACGTAGTAGTTTACATTCGGTTCGGGTCGGGTCAGGGTGTACCACAACACCCTGGTATGTACGATGAGGCGTGTGAGAGGTTGTGGGCGGGCGTCGCCCGTTAAAGCGACGGGCAACTTTTGGCAGTGTTGGGTTCAGAAGTTTTTTTTTTGAACCAGGCTTGCCAGCGCGAAAGTGTTGGCTGGCGAAAACCAGGATTTCGTGCAGACACTTTTCATCTGCAGTAACAGTTCGCCAGGGTTCTGGGTTTTGGGTGGCAAATGTGCACCGTCGCTTTAACTGTGGAAGCTTTGGAATTTCAACATTTCCTAGCCAACATTTTCAACATTTCACAATCATTTCAACTATAAGAGGCTAACAAACGCATAAAATGCAGTGTGCTACATTGCCTAGCCAAAACGCGCTTGCATATGCACATCCAGCAGTAACCAACCAGGGTGTGGTATCACCGTGTCTTCTCCTGATATCACGATTCTTCTTCCAATAAGCCACACAGCGGCGGTGCTCGCTTGCTCCCTCCCCCCGACCCCCTCGACGGCAGAAACTCAGCAACAGCCTCGTCGCCAACAGCAGGCGGGTAATCATAGTCACCCACGGCCGATGGAAAATCTCCTCTCGCTGAACCACTCGACGCAGCAGCAGCAGCAGCAGGAAACTCCGCACCTCCTGCACTGACCCTGCCCTCCCCTTCCCTGCTCTGCACGTCCTTGCCTCTGCCCTCTGCCCTGGGGGAACCCCCTGACGACAGGTAGAAGAGACTGTTGCGCTTGCGCCACTCCTCTGTGCTGCCTTCCGCCCCAACACCCACATGCTGGGCCGCACTTGCACCACCTGCTACCCCTCCACCCCCTCCACCCATCGATTGTCCAGGAACAGGATAGCCCAGAGCACCATGCATCGCCACTCCTGCCCCTCCTGCTGCTACTGCTGCAGTCCTGCTGCCAGGAATGGCAGGGGAGGAGGTGGGGACGGAGGAGGTGGGCAGGAAGCGGGGTGGCAGCGCGCGCACAAAGAGGATACCAGAATCCCACTCGTCATGTGATGACTGCCCAAATGCGTCCAGCCATGCCAGAGCACCAGAAGCATCGCCACTGCTGCTGCCATGAGGCATGGCGGCAGGAGGGCCTACTCCCATCGCTACTGCTGCTCGCTCCACTGCTCGCAGCAGCTGCTGCTTGCCTGCTGCTGCTCCCACTGCTGCGATTTTAGATGCAAGGGGTGTGACAGCAAGAGGAGGGTGGGGTGCGGGCGCATCGAATTGATCAGGCTGCGCAGCAGGGAATAGCGAGGCCAAGGTGTGAAGCATCAGCAACTGCTGCTCCAACTGCTGCTGCCTCTGCTGTCCATTCACATCCGCGCCTGTATCTCCCCCATCCACAACCTTTCCCCTCACTGTGCTTCCAGCAACTTCACTTCCCCCTGCTGCCCCTCCTCCTTCCTCCCCCTTCTGCTCAACCTGCTTCTCAGCGCGCAAAGCTTCAAGCAGCAGCGGCAGCAGCAGGCCCAGCAGAGCGGCCACATTGCACGCCCTGTCAGCCACATCAGCATCAGGGGACTGCAGGAACGGTAGCAGCCGCTCACGCGCCTCCTCTAGCACACCCACCACCCACTGCACTCCGCTCCCCCTCGCCCCTGCTGCCTCTGCCACTGCCGCTGCTGCCACAGCCGACCGCACCTCTCTCCCTGCCGCCTCACAGCCACCACTAACCGCCACGTCTGGCGATTCTCCTCCTGCTCCAAGGCTGCTCCCAGCTGCTGCTGCTGGTGACCCCCCTGGCAGCAGGCGCGCGGGTGTGGCTCGTGCTGTGAGGGCGAGGAGCACCTTGAGGGCGGCCTGTAGGAACACAGCCTGGGTCGCCGGGGGCAGAAGCAGCACGCTAGGCTGCAGCAGGGACGCGAGCAGCGAGGACAGCGACGAGTCCAACGCACCTGCTGATTCTGATCTTGACGATTGAGGTGGCGGAGAGGGGGATTGAGATGGTGCAGAGAGCGCGGTTGTGCCACTGCCAGTGCTGCTGCTGCCCTCACGCGCCCCTGCATCTGCAGCAGCAGCAGCAGCAGCAGCAGGAACCCCTGGGCAGCAGCTCGTGCGCGCACTCACCCAGAAGGAACGCTGCAGCAGCCAGCACATGATCCCCGCCCGCCCTGCTCCTCAGCAGCGCCGTATCCCCCACCAGGCGCAGCGCCAGGTGCAGCGCTGCTGCTCTCACTCGCGGCCGATCTGCCACTGGCACGGGCAACCCTAATGCCACTGCCACCAGGTGTCGCCCCACCTCCCTGCCCCTCTCACTGCCCGCCCATGCGTCTGCCACTGCTGCACCCGCCGATAGGGCATGAGTGAGACCCAGGCCACCACTCACTCTGCGGCCGTACCCATGGGAGCTGTCTGATGGGTTTCCTAGGGGCGCCAGCGACCACACACTCTCATCCGCTGCTGCTGCTGATGCTGCTGCTGCTGCTCCGGCACCTGCGTGTGAGGGCAGAGCGAGGCTGGCAGAGGAGGTACCCCCACCCACAATCGCCACGTAACAGATGTCCTGTAGCACGTCTACATACCACACGAAGTCGGTCACGCGTTCAAACCCCCCCGCGCCGCACATCTGCAGCACGGCCGTCACCAGCTCGCCACACAGCGGGCTGCGCGCCGCCGCTGCCCCCGCCATGCGCTGACGCAGCGCCGCCACCGACGGCACGAGCGACGGCCGCGTGACGAGCACCGTGATCAGGCGTAGAGCTGCGGACTGCACGGCGGGGTCTGCATCGTCGAGTGATGCGATGATGGCGGCTTTGTAGCGGAGAACTTCGAGGGCGTGGTGGGGGAGGAACATCTCCAGTGCCCGCAGCCCCAGCAGACGCACGTTCGCGTCGTGTGCCCCCACCACCGCTGCCGGCGCTGCGCTAGTGCTGCTACCTGCAGCGCCGCCACCAGCGCCGCCGCAACCGTCCCCTGCGCTGCCGCCCGCGCCAGGATCCGCAGACAGGGGTTCGTTTGCTACTAGCCGCGTGGCGGCCACGCGGATGGCCAGCTGGCGCAGGGAGTCCACGTGGCGCATGCTGAGCGCGACGGCGCGCACGCACTCGAGCAGCAGCGACTTGGAGGGCGTGGCGCGCAGCAGCGCCGCCAGGGGCTCCGCCACCTTGCGCGCCACGCGGGGCTCCGCGGCGGCGAGCGCGGCGAACGTCTTGACGAGCTTGATCAGCAGCCAGGGGGACGACGACGGGTGCAGTAGCGGGAACAGATCCGGCGCCAGAGGCAGGTATTTGGACGCTAGTGGCTTGCCCGAGCCCGCGCGCTGCTGCTGCTGCTGGGTTTGCTGTGCTTGTGAAGGGGTGGATTGGAGGGTTGGGTCGATAGGGGTGCTGCCTGCGAGGCGCTGGTGCTGCTCGTGCAGGACTAATTCGCACACCAGCGAAACCACGGCGGTTACCACCGCCCTGTCGCTGTCGTGCAGGCGCTCCGCGAGCCTCGCGAGCAGCGCAGGCAGCTCGTCGTCGTCGCCTGCTCCTCCTGATCCTCCCACCCCGCCACTCGCGCTACTCTGTTGTTGTTGCTGTTGCTGGTGCACGATTCTAAGCATCGCCAGCGTGGCCTTGCGTCGCCCCGCGACGCGCGTGCCGTTCAGCAGCGCCACGACCTCCGTCGTCAGCTCCGCCGCCAGCCCCGGCGGCGCCGCCGACGCGATGCACGAGAGCGCGAGCGACGCGTCGTGCGGGTGCTGCCCGGTAAGATCCTTGCGCAGCTGGTGCGTCGCGAGCACTGCCACGTCAGGCGCCGCGGAGAGACTATGCGCCGCGGCGAGATAGCCAACGTATTTCACGGCGAAGCTGCGGTGGCACCCCATGGCCTCGACGGACGGGAACGCCGCCCACGCGATGTCCGAGCCGCCCGCCTGCCCCAGCATGTACAGGTATAGGAGCTTCTCTAGTGCTGCCGCCTTGCTGCGCGGATCCGACGACTTTACCTCGCGCCGCACGTCGCGGAGGGTTTTCGCGAGGATCTTGGCCTCTTCGGCGGGGGACGGCGCGGCTCGGAGGGATTTGATGACGTCGGTGAGGGATTTCTGGAAGAGGAGATCCATGGCGGCCGGGCGGGGTGATGCCGTGGGAGAGGAGACGCGAGGGGCTCGGATGAAGGGAAGATAAAAGGGTGTGGTGGGCGAGGATGAAGCGGCGGGTCACGGGACGAAGATGGGAGGATAGAAGAGAAGGACCGAGCGTGGTCGTGCGTGATGAAGACGAGAGGCGACTACTAACGAAGCGGGCCCGAGAGACAGGGCGAGGACGACGCGAGTGCTACCATGACAGCTTGAATTCGAATGAAGTGGTGAGTACTGCGATCAGCCGAAGGGGTGAAGTGCGTGAGGGGATTTGTAACCTCGTGTGCTCCATTGCACGATTCTCTGGTGTTAAGATGGTGACAGCAAATAGATTACATGGTGTAGTTTCTCAGTGCTATAACTTATATGATGTTCTGGGCGCATTTAAGGGCGCTTACGAGGATTGGAATCAAGATAGAAAATATACAATGTGAGTCCAGACACTGCATTTAAAACCTCTTGGATTGGTAGCGTGCAAAATTTGCAGGATAGGATGCCAACGACGAGATTTGGAAATAACAGAGATTTGGGTCGCGCAATAGGCTCTCATGCACACAAATTGTTGTCAAACATGTATTCATGTCAATCATGTATTGGTGTGTGTATTTATTTGTATGTTCTAGGCTGTAATGATGCATACATTAGAGGTTATAGGCTGTTAGGGTTTGCTTTTGTACCCACCTCCTTTTCTAATCATCAATTCCGTTGCTAGCTATTATTAAGATGGCATCACGAGTAGGTTCGTTCTTGACCATTTCTAGCCCGTCCTAGCCTAGCGCGCACCCGCGCCTCCGCGCCTAGCCCGCGTCTCTGCACCCTCTGCGCCTTCGCACCCTCCGCGCTTAGCCCGCACCCTCCCTCACGTGTGTGCGCGCCCTCCCCTGCCCGTCACGCCACTAGGCCAGCCTATCGCGCGCGCCCTGGGCCAACCCGTCGCGCGTCCTAGGCCCGCCCGTCGCGCGCGCCCTAAGCCGGCCCGTCGCGCGCCCCTAGGCCAGCCCGTCGCGTACGCCCTTTGCCAGCCCGTCGCGCGCGCCTGCATATGCAGGCGCCAGCACAGCGAGCGCCAGTGACGCTCGCGCACTAGCAATGCGCACGCGCCCAGCAGGCACACGCGCGCCAGCGCATCCCGCGCCACAACGGCACGCCCTGGCGCGACACGCGCCGCAGCGCACACCGCACTGCACTCGTAGGCACTCACTACTGCCAACCGCCAGAAGCTAAGCTCGCCGCCAGCAACTAAGCTCGCTGCTAGCAGCAAGTATGCTAGCCGCCAGCCCGCCTCTACATCAGCAGCCACGAACGTGCAGAGCTGCGCACGCCACGCTCTGCCTGCTGCACGCACGCAGTAGCGCACGGCTGCATTACACGCAGCCAGCGGAAGCGCTAGTGCCAGCAGCAGACACCAGCCGCCCAAAACTCTTTCGAGCTGCCCACGATTCATACCAGCCACCCCCAGCCCCTCCTAGCCGCCCACCACCACCTAATTTCGCCCATTTTCCACCTACTGCCTCCCAGAGTCGCCCACCATACCACCAGTGCCCATTGTCTCACGCTCGCCTCCTGCCCTTTGCATCCCTAACGGCTGCAGGCAGCCGCAATCACTTTTCCTGGCCTAGTTTCAGTTTGTGCCTCGACTGACGTTCCTAGCCCGCCTTGCCTTGCCGACTGTTCCTAGGCTAGTGGCTCTTCGTCGGTAGTTCCTAGTATTGCTCGAGCCGTGCCTCATTCCAGCCGTGCCTTGCTCTAGCCATGCCTTGTTCCAGCCATGCCTTGCTCCAGCCGAGCCCCGTGCCTTGCTCCAGCTGTGCCTTGCTCCAGCCAACTGTGCCTTGCTCCAGCCGTGCCTTGCTCCAACCAGCTGTGCCTTTCTCCAACCGTGTCTTGCTCTAGCCGTGCCTTGCTCCAACCAACTATGCCTTGCTCCAGCTATGTCTTGCTCCAGCCGTGCCTTGCCTTGCTCCAGCTGTGCCTCACTCCAGCCGCTCATCGTTCCACTCGCTCCAAGATGAATTTGATCATTGTATCGGCCGTTCCCCGCCTAGTTTCACCTGGTGCTCCTAGCTGTTCTCGCTCCTCGCTCCTAGCTTGGTTTGCTCAGTGCTCCGGCTGTTCCTCGACTAGTTTCACCTGGCGCTCCTAGCTGTTCTCGCTCCTTACTCCTAGCTTAGTTTGTTCCGAATTTAAGCTGTTCCTCAATCCAGTCGCTTCGATGCTACCGCTCCTGCACCCAGCTACAGTAGCCTTTCCCATGGCGTCCACTAGAGTTCTCCAGCAGCAGGGACAGCAGCAACGGCAGTTTCAGCAGTGGGAACCTCAGCAGCAGAGGTGCTCTCAGCAGCAGTGGCGACCTCAGTAGCAGTTGCACTCTCAGCAGCCGTGGGGGCCTGGTGGTTCGGGTGGCATTGGCTGCAGCAGCGGCCCAGCCTGCTGGGGGGCTCGTCGCGGTGGCCACGACGTCGGCCCCTGCCAGTACCAAATCTTGACTGGCCCTGGTGCTGGCACTACCTGCTGGCGTCCTGACCACTCTGCACAGTGCTGCAACCTCTACCGTGAGCGTTTTGGGTCTGAGTTGAGGCCACCGATCTAGTTCGGTCTGTCTCGTAGTGGTTACCCTGTTTTTGATATGTCTATGGATGCTGCTAATTCTGTGACATATGGATCTCTTAGCTTGCGTGTACCTAGCTTAGGACCTTTGCCTGTTGCTTTTCGAAAAGTTCTTGTGTAGTCACCAGTCCAGTCGTGATGACTGCTGTAGCGTTGCTCTCCTTCACGCAGGACTCAGGCGCGTCTCAGTGCTTCTTCCGCGACCACACCACTGTCACATCTTTTGGCTCCAGTTCCAGTTGCCCTGGCTAATCTTACTTCAGGACCAGTAGTCGCTCGCTGATCGACCACTCTCCCGTGCCCGGCTGTCCCTTCTGGTTTCCTCACTGGTCTCTACATCCCCTCGTTCTCTCGGAACTTGGTGGGTGTTGGATACCTTCAGGACCGTGGGATCACAGTCACTGTTCCTGCGCACGGGAGGAAGGCGATCTATACGGACGCTTCCACCGGGACACTTCTTGCCATGTTCACCAGGGAGCCCAACTCAGGTCTCTTCGTTCTGCACATTGCTTCCCACCAGATAGCAGAGTCAAATCAGGTTACTGCATCCTCCCAAGTAGCTGATTCTGGTCAGGTTATTGCGTCCCCACAGGTTACGGTGTCCAGTCAGGTTGTCGTGTCCGGTCAGGTTGCTGTTCGGTCACTCTCCCACCTAACAGTCTTGTGGCACCATCGTCTTGGTCACCCGCACCTCCCACGCCTCCTTAGCATGGCCAGCCAGCGTCTGGTCTACGGTCTCCCGCGGCTCTTTGAGTCACTTCCTCGTTCGCCTGCGCCGCCGTGCACTCCTTGCGTCGAGGGTCGACTACGCGCCACTCCTCACAACTCCTCTCTTCGTCCGGCCACCGCTCCCTTCCAAACCCTCCGCTTGGACGTCTGGGGCCCAGCCTCTCGTCTTGGGCTCGAGCGGGAGCGCTACTTTCTGGTGGTCGTCGACGACTTCTCCAGGTACACCAATGTGTTTCCTCTCGCGAAGAAGTCCGGAGTGACTTCAACGCTGATCCGGTGGCTCATGGCCACTAAGGACATTCGTGGTCGTTGTGACAGTTGTCTCCACTCTGACCGTGGGGTTGTGTTCTTGCCGGGTTCTGCGGCGAGAATGGACGCTTCCGAAGTCCCCACTGCAGAATGGGGTCGCTTAGCGCCGCATTGGCTTGGTCATGGAGATTGCCCGTACCTCCATCATCCATGCACGTGCACTCCATTTTATGTGGCCCTACGCGGTTCGCTACGCCGCTCACCAGCTGAACCTCTGGCCTCGTGCCACACGACCAGGGGATTCACTGACCAGTCTTTAGATCGGGTCCCCTGGTGTTGCATCAGAGTTTTGAGTCTGGGTCTGCCTTGTTCTTCTCTGCGAGACCTCTGCAGACAAGCTTTCAGCTCGTGCCATCCCCTGCATCTTCCCTGGTTTCCCGATGGACTCCTCTGACGACACCTTTTACCACCCGCCCCTCCACTGTTTCCTTGACTGCCGTGACGTCCGAGGCAGTGTCCTACTACGCTCGCTACTCTTGTTGAGGTCTCCAGGTTTCCCCTCCCCCCCTCTTCCAGGTTTCCCCCTCTCCTCCTCCTGCTCTCGCTCCTCTCGTACCCACGCCCCCTCCTGGTCCTGCCCCGTCAGGTGTGTCTCACGCTACCCCTCTACCCTCGGTCGCGCGTCAGGTAGCGTCTCCCTCCCCGCAGTCCTCCTCACAGTCCCCTCGTAGCCTTCGGCATTTCCGCGACAGGTTACTGTAGACTCAGAGAGTGTTGGAGCTGGAGGTGCTGCCACATGAGCTACTCGGTCTGGGAGTGCTCGTTCGAGAGGTGCTCGAGCTGGATGTGCTGGTACTAGAGGTACTAAATCCGGGGGTGCTCGAGCTGGAGGTTCTAGCGCTGGAGTTTTTGGCATAGGAGATGCTAGTTCTGGGGCACTTGGAGCTGGAGACACTACTATTGTGGCGCCTATTGCGCCTCCTCACCGCTACGCCACGTGCCTCCAGGCTCTTCGCCGGCGTGAGCGTGAGGAGCAGGAGCGGCTAATTGGAGCAAGAGTGGCAGGAGCTGCGGCAGCTGGACCAGCAGGAGCAGCATCAGCAGCAGCAGGAGCAGCATCAGCAGCAGCAGCAGCAGTCGTCGCTGCAGCCATCCCTTTTACAACAGTTTTTCCCACCAGTGAGTGGCCTTCGGGCCCTTGGTTTTCCCTCCTCTTCTCCTATCCACTCACAGTCTCCTACCGCGTAGGGTCCTACGTTTCCTCCTCCGGACTCTGCTCCAGCTGTTTTCTCTCCTCCTAGGTCATAGTCGCCTCCTCCTGTTCTCTCGCACGATTGGACCACTCATTGTTCTCCACGTGCTCGTCTCTCGCCTCCTTTTAACGACCTCAGCATTGT